TGCGTACATGTGCAGCCCGCAACAAGATCTATACGCCATTATTTTGGGTTTTATGGGTTGATAATTGGGTTTTTCTCTTTGTGTGGTATATTATAATATTCCCAAGGTGTGATGCTGTGAACCTGTTTGTGTAAAAGCAACAAAGGACCTTTTGAAATTACTATTGTCTTTGGCTATCTACATAACATAATGCGACGGTTGCGACAAAGTAGCCGCTTGAAATTGAATCCAGTGCCCCATCATCTTTATTCCATTTAGAACGTGTCTTCTGGTTGGCAATTACTCCACAAAGGAACCAACCATGATTCGAATAAAAATGTACCAAGTTGGATGATTTAATTAAGGTGCTTAAAATTGTGAGAAACTGGAAAGCCCATTTACAGCTTTTGTTTGTGAGCAACCAAGAACAGCCACAATTGAAGCACCCATAATTGCAAATTTGTTCTTTCCCTACTTCTACACCAGTTTTTTCAATTGGGTTCATGAGTAAATAAGAGGTCCATCTCCCAATTGAAAACCGCATATTGCCATATCCAGAGGGAACTAGAAAGATTAGTACTAAAGGACCCATTTACTCTACTATAGAAATATGAAAGAGAAGACCCCTCCTAGTAAAAGCAAGCAAGCGACTACAGTAGCAAAGTATTTAGAGAAACCAACAAAACACTTTTCATGTTCAATGTAACAAGCTGAAAGATGACAATGATCCATCGACTACAGCTGTCTATCTCCATTAACAAGTAGAAAGTCATGATGCCTCCCTTTGTGATTCAAACTATACATATAAAAGAAGATTTGCTTATCAAACAGTTGCAGGCGCATTCACTGCTTTTATTCCACTATCAGTCAGTCTGCAAGAGCGCACACACACACACAGAAGAAGAAGAAGAAGAAGAAGAAGAAGAAGAAGAAAGTGGCTACAGAGGAAACTTAATTTAGATGACCCTACCAAATTTGACCTCCTTCTATAACCTGTGGTAACTGTTAACCTGGGAGAACACAAAAGGGAACTGTAGACTACCGTCTGTCAGGTTACTGTAGATAGTGGTTTATGTCATAATATATAAAGTTTGTGCAGGTTGATTTTCATGGCCATCTCCCTCCTTTATGACATCATTTCTCACTGCTGCCATCTTATGACGTAACACGCCATTACCAAATTAAGCAATCATTTGATAAGAACAAATCTTCAATTAGGTAAAGGATGAAGCTAGCGGGTGATGATATATATCTCAGAAAGATACTTGGGGTGTAATTATCAAAGAGTGTAGATGAATCTATATTCATCTGTTTCATGGTTGATACAATCAAAGAATTGACGCATGATAACATGTTTGATCGGAAAAAAGTTATACCCATCAGACAAATAGTGGTTCCAGCACCACAGAAAGAAGTAACCAATTGAAATTTTGAAACATATATGGTGGTTAATTAATTACCATGGACCTGAGTAGACCGTCAGTAGTAGCTTGTTTCTGTGGATGGTTTCCCGGTCGGTCGGTCGTCGACGAGCTCGGTTGGACATTAAGGAAGGTGACGTTTCATTTTCTCAGAAAGTGGGATCTGACACGCCAACACGATAATTTGATTTGACAAAAATCCGAAAAAGCTGGTGACTTTGGAAACATGGCTGCAGATGATAAGCCGCTTTTGCATAGAAAATTAAAGATATTCTTTTCTGCTTATACTAAATGGAGATAATCACAAAATGGAGTGAAAATCTAATTTGGATCGATCCATCGGCTGCTGTTGATAAGTCGAGCATCAATTGAATACGAGCAGCTGCTTTTCATTGTCCCACTCGGTGATAGCAACCGCCCTGTGCAAATAGCTCCAGTGATTGATTTAAAGTGTCACCTACCAGTTTGAATTTTATTCCTCTACTACTTACACACAGGACATGAGAAGACACGAATATTGTTCCATATCCCATTTGAGCTCATCAAATTCTGCTGCATTTTGATTCTTCAGCGCTTTGATTTAGACTTGTCTGAGTCCCCACTACGTACAACCGTCTACTGGTGCTCTCTCTCTCTCTCTCTCTCTTTCTCTTTCTTTCTCTGCATCAAAGTAGAGAGAGATGTCACTGTGTATATGGGTTTGAAAGAAGTATTGCTAGCCCCAACCAGATTTTCAAGTCAAGCTGAGATTTCCGCCACTTGAAGAAAGGATGAAGAAGTCACCTTTCTTCTCTGGTTCGAACGTGAGTGGACGACTCCTTCTCACGATCAACTAGTAGGGCAGGGAGCTGAAAAAGGGGTTTTTGGTAGGAGATAAGTATATTATGTGTGGTAGGATTCATATTGGAACCGAGCTATGATGTCCCTGGTCATTCAACAGCAGATTGATAGAGGACAAACGTTCAAGAAAGTCACCGTTAGAGTGCTAACAGTAATAAATGTTTGCAGCATGGATTTAGGTGCACTTGGACTTGTTCAGCCCGCTAGATCATGGAGCTGACATGGCAACAGTATATTTATCTGATAAGAGTACAGTAGGAACATTTTTACCCATTGGTGTAGGCTGAACCACCGGCCATACAATTTATCCATACACCAAGGTTATCCATTTGAGGGCATATAGCCACTCACACTAACAAGTATTACATCTAAGTAATGAGGTGTTGGAGTCTAGATTTTCCACCAAAAAAGGTAACTAATAAAGAAGAAATAAATATAAGCAAAGGGAACCATGAGTCGGCCATGTGTTCTAGTCTAGCTTACCACCAACAGCAAAAAAATAGAAAATACGGAATGACTTCTGAAACAATGGATACAGTGTGGCTATTTGTGTAGGACCCCATATGCACAAGACATGAATAACATGCTGTAATTCCATCGATTACTGGACCCATGGTGTCGGAATTTGTATAAGTTCGTACCTATGTTCGCCGGTGGGTTCATCATTTGGAACTTGTATACTCATTACAAGAAAGAAAAATGGGCAAAGCCGGTGGTTCATCATGACCGCCGGCATAAAGGTAAGCCGCCGACGGCTTTTATTTAACCACCGACTCATTAAGATACTAATACATGAAAAATGCTCATACTCGTATATAAGGATTGACCCACAATTTAATCATTCAAATTTCCACATATTAAGATACTAATATATATAGAAAAATACTTGTATATAAGTATTGACCCACAATTTATTAATGGTTCAGACTTTGTATCAAACCCTGCAATCCAACTCTTGCTTATAAGTATTGTATTGTACGCGTAAAACAAGTTCCCCATTTTTGGCTCAAAAGTCTCAATGCAAAAAAGAAGAGGGGACCCAAAATTTGTCCCCATAAAAGGTGAAGAGGGGTAAAAATTTTTGCACCCCTTCCCTTCTACATTGCCTTTCACATCCAAACAAATGGAGACTAACTATTTACTTTGACATTTCACACATAATATTGTCCTTATCCAAGCACATATTTATTAGTGTAACAAAGCTTATGCAAGGCTGTATAGGAGAGACCTGACAAGTTTGACAGGAGGGGACCGGATCTCTATTCAATTAGATGCCACGTCAATCTTAGGGAAGCCCTAGGTGAGTTTTATCAATACACAACAGCTAGCTGTAGTCCTCTTGTTTAACTTTTCTTTGTAAAAGTAAGCCATGGAACATTTTTCTTTCTCGATCGCCAGCTGGTTAGTTTGGACCTTCCTAGGGTTCATTTGGGACCCAAGAAGACAAGTGTCCATCATATGCGGGTTCAAAACACTTTTGTTAACAGGCTTACAGCAATTTCTTAATTTCTTAACTTTAGGGGGACTGGTTTGAGCACGTCTCATTTTCTGATGATAAGCAACCTMACTGTTCATGGAGAGCATTTGACAAGAATCTGGTATTATTGGTGGAAGCAAATTTGGTCTGATAGAGTGCCCAAGTTAGTTAACCAATCAGTTAATACGAGAGATGATTAACATGCTTTCCCTGGTTGATGTTTTATCTCAGGTATCTTGAGTGTTGTATATTTACTGAACAAAAATACAAGCAAATTAAAACAGAAGTCAGCAAAAACCCTAGAAAATACCCAAATTTCTTTAGAATTGTTATTGCAATCTGGAAATTAATTTATATTATCTGAAAATAGGGATCAAGCTAGGATTAATTATGGACTCCCCAATACRTATTAGTGTGAAACCATGACATTCTTGTCAAACGGATCATAATTTATTGGTTACATATTAAAGAAAAATTAGAAAACACACCTTTTAAAAGACACCAAGAATATTTTTTTTGTGTTGGAAGAAAAGTGAATTGGCATATTAGAATGCATGAGGAAGATGTCTTGGCAACTTGGGGTGCAACAAAAAGTGAAGAAAAGGTGATCTAATGAAGAAATATTGAGATGTATCTCTGCTCTATTTCAAATTTCAGCCCAGCCATGCACATTAAAGAGAGATCTAGAAAACCCAATTTTCTCACAGAGACAATGGGTATAAAAATGGAATCTGTATTGCAAAATAATTGAGGAAAAGATGGGGATCAAAAGGGATCGATGCAGAACAAAACATGTAAAGTAATGAGATAGTTCGACTATTCTCAAGGATAACTTCAATTCCTCTCCTCTACTTTAACTAGATTAATTTCCATTTTATTTATATAAAAATAAATGACTAAAGCAATGGCCAATTCAAATTCAATTGCTTTCAGAAAAAAAAAAGGTAACAATTAGAATTAATAGAAAGAAATGGTTATATATGGAATGAGCTAGTCAAAAGACTATTAACACTAAGAAACCATTAAGAGGCTAGTTTTAAATAATCCATCAATATCTAACCAACCCAACGACAGACAATGTGGATATTTGACAGAGATAGTATCTTAGCTTTCGTCCATATATACARCACGTTCCATTCTCCACTCCCAACAAATTGCATCTTCTAATTACATTTTTTTCTCTGTTAAAATTGGCCATGTGGGCCTTCTTTCTTTCTTGTGTCTAATCTGCACCGTCCACTCAACCCTCTCAGCATCTATTTAAACAGTCCTCTCACCTCTCTTCTTTCTCCAAACTTAATTATTCTCTTCTTTGCTCAGCACCATCATCGTCACCTCTCCTTCTCTAGCTATCTTTCTCATATTTGCTTAGAATTTCAAGCTAGTCTCTGTTCCCAGGGGCCACGCACCAATGGCATGGTTTGAAGTATCTAAGAAGGTTAGTAGCGGTTCTGATCATGATTCATGACAACAAAATTAACAGACTTTTCTCTGCTGTTTCTGTGTTTTATCTTCTTCTGCCATAGAAACACAGTCATATATCTTCCACGTTTCTGTAGCTCTCGTACTCCTTACTGTGTTTATATATATATATATATATACTGCTTGATTATTGGCTCAATCTTGTTAATAGTGGAAGGTTACAGGCTGCTGGTTAATTTCTCTGAAACTTGTTAAAGCAATATATGCTTATGATTCTTACATGCATTACTCTTAAAGTTTCTGAGACATGCATTACTGTAAGTACTGTGCTCATCAGTTATTATCTTTTCAAAAAAAAAAAAAAAATTGCAGGCTAAGATCAATGAATTGGGAGAAGTAGAGGGTAGAAAGATGGAAGAAGAGCAGGAAGAATACACTCTTGATGGGACTGTGGATCTACATGGGAGGCCTGCAATCCGAGAGAAAACTGGGCAATGGGCTGCTGGAATTTTGTTACTTGGTAATCTCCAAAGCTAAGAATATTATAAGGAAAAAATATCAAATATTAGTGTTTGTTCTTCATCTTCTTGGTTCCTTCTTTGAAATTCTTCCCAACTAGTTTTTCCAAACCATTTTTTTTATAAAAGATATGATGATACATGGACAGAATGCATCTTCATCCTCTCCCTCCCACGAAGGAAAAGTAGTCGAATCTTGCTTCTGTGCTTATATATATATATATATATATATCCATAACGCATTTATGTTTCTTTCTCTTTAGCTTTTAATTTTAATTTTTTTTTTTTGATAGGCGAGCTCTGTACTTGCATTAGATAATAGCTTCTTCCACATGAAACCAAAAATAAAAAAAAATAAATAAAAGAAAGAAAAGCTTCTTCCATTCTAGCTTCTTGTACAGTGTCTTCATGTCTTTGCCATATCGATGAAAGACACATACAACAAAAAAATAAAGGGATTGTTTGGCAAACCAACATGTGTTAAAGCTCCATTTCTCCATGGGCTTTAGAAAGCTACACGACACACAGACACTGCTCAGAGAGAGAGAGAGAGAGAGGCACACATGCAACTAGTAATCTTTCTCTCCCTTTAATTTGACAAGAGCTTTTGGTCGTTATATATACAGTCACCTGTAGTGTTAACTCCATAAGTACCAATTATAACCAGAAATCGGTGATTATATGAAAGCTTATGATTCGACCTGCTTCATATCAATCACATCGCCTTCTTTTTTTCAATAATAAACATCAGATGGGTCGGCGTTGATGAAATCACTATGTCACTCTATCATTGTGTTAGAAACATGAAAAGGGGACCTCCCAAATCAGTACACATGGTCCAAAACATGCAAGTGTGGGTGACACAGCGAGACACGTCACCATCTGGTCCCACTTGAGAGTTCTCATAGGCTCACCATCTCTCTGCTTGACTGACTGATAGTGTGATACTCACCATTTGATGTATCATCATTGGCCCCAGTTGCCTTGGGTACTGTGTGACACTGGGGACCCGCTGAAGCCTGAATGGTCTGGAGTCCCTAAACATGCGGCTTGTCCTAGGATGAGAAGATCATGCATGAGCATGACTCATTTCATTTTAACTTTGGCCTCCGCTCCGGCCAAAGTTCCATAAAATCGCCTCGGAAGTTCCACTTCCAACACGAGATGCAATAAATTATGGCAATGACTTTGGGGATAGCCCCTCTTTTAGTGGGACCCATCTGATGGTTAGTCTTAATTATTTTCCACGTGGCAAATCAGAGCTCCCCAAATCAGAATTACGTGTCTTATTTGCAGACCCAAGACATTTCAACAAAACCAGGAATTGACACAGAACAACAGGAGGGGGAGGGGGAGGGGGGGATGCCTTGATGAATTAAAGATCCTTATTCCCTACAGGCTACAGCCTAGCCACACGATATTTACCAAAATGACCCGCATACATTTTATAATCTCTCCCCCTTTTCAAGAATCAAGACGGTGCACCAACCAGGCAACCAAAAGATGATGTAGCCCGTCAAGTCTGATCAAAGTATCAAACAAACAAACCCCTAGACTTTTTAGAGCAAAAAAGCCATCTGCAAGTCTGCATTCATGTCCTAATTGTCCTTTCACGTTTGACCCATGACATGAAAGTTTGGTCTGGTAGGCGAGATATTATTTCCATGTTTGGATCCTTTCGTTTTCTGGCTGCCCTGGTTCCTGCAACTCTGCAGGGAGTTAATTAATTTGTCTCCACTTTACTATGTTACTATTCTATTTCACCTCCCGCGAAAAATGGTTAATTTGCTTCCAAAATCCAAACTAGTTTGCTTTCTCAGGCAAGAACACAAGAATGCCTTATGATCTAAGTCTCGCCCTTGTGTGATTTAATTTAAGGACTCTGTAACGTCCGAGCATTAATTTGCTTCCTTAAATATTAAGAACTATCTACTAAATCAAAGCTTGTAAGGCTATTTATGTCGTGTAGTATTCTTTTATTTTTGACACAGTGAATCAAGGGCTGGCTACACTGGCTTTCTTCGGAGTTGGAGTGAACCTGGTGTTGTTCTTGACAAGGGTGTTACAACAGGATAACGCTGATGCAGCAAACAATGTTAGCAAATGGACTGGAACTGTTTACATCTTCTCTCTAGTTGGTGCATTCCTTAGTGACTCCTACTGGGGAAGATACAAAACATGTGCTATCTTTCAAGTTATCTTTGTCTTGGTAAGTGTAACAACTATTTCACAATCAATTTCCTGTTTGCCTAGGACTTTGATGGCTAACTAATCAGCCGGCCAACCCATGGCTCAGTTGAGTTGACCCATTTCGTTCTTTGGCTAGTTTGATCTTGACTCAACTGAACTAGGAAATAGGAATCTATATTGCTCTGGTTTCAATCTGGACCTGTAGAGGCTTGACTCTATGAATCGTTGTAGTTATTCTGTTAGATAACAAAACACTTTGGTGATCAATAACTTGGAAACTATACATCAACAACAAATAACAGAGGAAAGGATATATCTTTGCTCTGTTCTAATTGTCTCATAATTAATCATTTTTGCAATGGAGTTCATTATATCCTGATAGAAGTGTGTTTGTTTGAATGGCAGGGTTTGGTATCGTTATCACTGTCATCATACCTTTTCTTGGTAAAGCCTACTGGTTGTGGAAATGAGCAGAACCCATGTGGATCCCACTCCGCTTTTCATATTGGTTTATTTTACGTATCCATCTACCTGATAGCCCTGGGAAATGGAGGGTACCAACCTAACATTGCTACCTTTGGGGCAGATCAATTTGATGAGGGAGATCCTAGGGAAGGGCACTCCAAGGTTGCATTCTTTAGTTACTTCTACTTAGCCTTGAACCTTGGCTCCCTTTTCTCAAATACCATATTGGGGTATTTTGAGGATGAAGGAATGTGGACTTTGGGCTTTTGGGTTTCTGGTGGATCTGCCTTTGTAGCATTGGTTTTGTTCCTCATTGGCACCCCAAGGTATAGGCATTTCAAACCTAGTGGAAACCCTCTCTCTAGGTTTTGCCAAGTAATTATTGCGGCGTCGAAGAAATGGAGGGCTGAATTGCCACCAAGTGGAGACGATCTATATGAAGTAGATGGGAAGCAATGTGTCATCGCTGGGGGCAGAAAGATGCTCCACACTGAAGGATTCAGGTAAATTAAGATCTGTTGGTTTATATATATGGCTTGCATTTATATCTCTTTATCTTTGTTGTCTAAATTAAAATGGCTCAATTTGTTAATGAGGAATCTAGTATGTCAAGCACTCTATTTTAGTTTAAAAATTAATGATCGGGTTCGGCAGTATTTAAAGGAAAAATGAAGAGCATAACAGCTCTGAGAAATAAATCATCTTAAAATTACAATTGTTTTGGGGTTGGAAAAGAAAAAGAAGATCAAAGTATAGTTTCTCTAGGAAAACTGAAAGTGTGGCATCCTACTGCAATTCGTGTTCATTCTCATCAGTCCAGTCCATTGCTCGCAAATTGTAATGGCTATGTATGTCACTGCAAGTGCACTTGCCATTTAGTTATGCAAACCCAATTTTAATTATCTTTCAAGTAAGCACTTTAACAGACATAGGACTTATCCTGGTAGTTTTACATTGAATATCAATCTGTTAACAATGCTAACTGGTGTTCTTGTAATGCATGTGATACCAGATTTTTGGACAGAGCAGCGATCATCACATCAAAGGACACTGCCCTTCAGAACCAAGGTCTTAGCACTCCATGGAATCTCTGCACAATAACACAAGTTGAAGAAGTTAAATGCATACTGAGACTTCTCCCAATTTGGCTATGCACAATAATCTACTCAGTAGTCTTCACTCAAATGGCTTCTCTCTTTGTTGAACAAGGTGCAGCCATGAAGACTACCATTGCAAACTTCCGGATTCCCCCTGCAAGCATGTCTAGCTTTGACATTCTGAGTGTCGCCGCCTTCATTTTCATTTACAGGCGAATTCTTGATCCTCTGGTTTGTAGACTAAGAAAGACAACTGGTAAAGGGCTTACAGAGCTTCAGAGGATGGGTGTTGGGCTCGTTATAGCAATAATGGCAATGATTTCGGCAGGAATCGTGGAGTGTTATAGGTTGAAGTATGCAAAGAAAGATTGCACACACTGTGAAGGTTCAAGTTCTTTAAGCATCTTCTGGCAAATCCCTCAGTATGTACTCATAGGAGCCTCTGAGGTGTTCATGTATGTGGGTCAATTAGTGTTCTTCAATGGGCAGGCGCCTGATGGATTGAAGAGCTTTGGAAGTGCACTTTGCATGACATCCATTTCACTTGGGAATTATGTGAGTAGCTTGCTTGTGAGCATTGTCATGAAAATCTCTACTGAAGATGATATGCCAGGATGGATTCCAGGAAATCTCAACAAGGGCCATCTAGACAGGTTTTACTTCCTCTTAGCTGTTTTGACAACAGCAGACTTCATTGTGTATGTAGCGTGCGCCAAGTGGTACAAATATATCAAGCTGGAGGGGAAATTCGTAGACATGGACGATGAAGATGAGAATGAGAATAGCTGCAGTGTCTAGTCTGCAATGTCAAGGCGCCATTTTACATGACTGATTAAATAAAAGGGAGGTGGGGGTGTTGGGTCGATTGTATGGATGTAATTATAGAAACCCACGTTGACTCAGCTCTTCCCAATCCCACCTATCCCAAGCAATGGAATTGTGGTTAAAAATAGTCTCAAAGAGCTGAAAGAGATCAGTGATACTGATTAAGGCTCTTCTTTTTGGACTAGCTTTAAACATGTTTCCATTGCTAGGCCTAATGGGCATATGCTTGTACGGAGTTTCAACATAACAAAGAGCTAGTCTTTCATTTGTTTGTTTCATGCCTTTACAGAGTAGCTCTCAAAATTATTGTTCTTACATTCTGAAATCAATATAAATGTAATGATCTCCCATCAGAAACTGATATGACCAAACTGGAAGTTCAAGATCACCAAACAGAGCCACTCCCATGGTGGTGCACGCTGCAGATAAGACAGCACCCCAGACTGATACTTGTAAGGAATTCTTTCTACCAAGAAAGGCCCTCCGTACCAAAGAATTCTATTTTTCACTCTTTAAGATTATTGGGTATCTTCGGTAGGACCTACATCATAAACTCCTGTGTGGCTTCTGCATTTGCCAAGCATGGTGCTGCTATGAAGATCATAACAGCAATTCTTAAGGCTTCTCTATCAATTATCATGCATGTCTACCTTTGTGGCAGTATCTGCAAAAGATGCGTTTTCTGCTCCTTTTACAGGCTGACAGCTTTTGAACAATACTATATACACTTTATCTGTTCATCTTACAGGCTGACAGCTTGTGAAGAAAACCATAGACACTCTATCTGTTCCTTTTACTTTACAGATGGGCACTAAATGTTCAGCTCCAGCCCTCCTAAACGGGCACTGAATGTTAAGACTTAGGCTTCTCACCCTATTACCTTTTTATTCCTGACGAGTATGTTTTAAGAAAATCCTTCACATACATAAATGACCAAACCGAGGGAACATACAGGGTCACTTAGTGTTATGTTCTGTTACTCTTTAGCATAATGAAATCGTATTTTCTCCTCACATAGCGCACTTCACACCAACCTCCCAACATATCGCAGCCATGCATTGGGAACATCTTCCCATAAATGACAACATTAAGTATGGGAGATATTCTCGATGCATGGCTGAAAACACCGAGTTTGGTGAGAGGCACGCTCTGTGAGAAGCAAACCTGAGCTCTAATATAATGGCATCATTATATCGTGTAAAGACACGTATGAATTTCAGTACAGAACACGGTAAAAATAAAATCTCGTTCTCATGTTAGAAAGATCTTCCATTTGTCTTTAATAACTAATAAAGTGAATCACTAAGATTATAGAAAGGTAATGTTTCATTTGAGTAACAAACAATCAAGAATAAGTCTCAATTAAGAAATAGCTGCCTCTTCAAGGTAGACAGCTTAACCTTTGACCTTTCGCACTTGAATGTGATGTGTAGATTCTTGGCGCCAGATTGGCTGTCTTCCACTTTGGACAATAGTAACGTGCTCTCCCGCCTTCAGCAGATTCTTATTCTGGTGGAAAAGAATTTCAATAATAGATTAACCATAAAGAAAAATTAATTTAGTAAAAATATTCACGGGTGAAAAGCAGCAAACTATAACCGAGTACCAGCAAAAGATTTAGTGCTCGAGAGAAGGTTTCCTCTGCATCATCCGATAACTGCATGTATATGGGTAATACACCTTGATAAAGTGCTAACCTCTGCTTGATTCTTTCTCTGCATCAACAGAATTGAATAAAAAGAAACTCAATCTCTAACTTGTCCATTAAAGTAGGAAAATATAAAAGCACAGTTCACCTAGGACTGGAGATAGGTAGATGCCATTTTTAACCACTTCCAAGGAGATACCAACAAAGCCAGTTCCATATGAGTCGAAAGAACAATACAGTACAGACGCTACAATTTGCAAAAGGAGAGATCTGCATCAGATATTGATTCTGTTTTATCTTCATGGCGACACCACTGGTGAAATTTTGGTGTGTCTATATGGATAAACCAGATCTAGGCTCCCAAACAGTTAGGTTATAACCCACGTATATTTACCACAACAAACCTAATTGATCTGACAGGCCAGCCAGTAACCATAAGAGAGGAATCGCAGATATTTTAGTCAAAATCTGAGCTGATGGAGGCAATTATTGGTAGAATTGAAAGCATGTGGAAGAGCTGGACTGCTTGTTTGAGTCCATTATCTTTTCAGCCTTTTCTTGTATAGAAACTGAATGTACATCATCTGTGCATATTGAAATAGGCACATTTTGGTATATGTGGTTGAGGGACCCTCTCTCTCCCCCACTTTTCTTTTCACAGAATTATAATACAACTTGTCAACTTCATTATCATCTTTCAAAAAAAAAAAAAAAAAAAAAAAAAAAACACTGCCCAACCATAAGCAAATTATAGTGGAGATTTGGAAAGAATATCAAGCATTGTGGTCTGTTGTTATGGGCCCGGGAATAGGATCTCGTCACGGGTCGGTCCACGGGTGATTTGTTGCAAAACCTATTCCCTTGTTCCTCCCCTTTCTTGCAAAACCTATCTTGGCTTCCTAAGGGTGATTTGTCCAAGAGATCACCTAATTSTCCTTTTACTCTCTTTCTTGACTGAAATTCCATATTCTCTCATTCAATAATGGTGTCTCCTTAAATAGGAGATTACAAGAGTCCTAGTCCTAGGGAGTCTCCTTGCTGAATAGGGAGACTTCCAACTCTATCTTGATAAGATAAGATAAGTTAATYCTAATCTGATAAGATAAGATAATCTAATCAACTAATAAGATAAGATAAGAACAGAACTAGATAAGTAAGAACAGATCTCCTACTTCTAACAGACTTCTAACAGAACTCGGTTCCTATCTCTAATAGATAAGTAAGAACAGAACTAGATAAGTAAGAACAGAACTCCTACTTCTAACAGACTTCTAACAGAACTCAGTTCCTATCTCTAATAGATAAGTAAGAACAGAACTGGAATAAGTAAACTATTGGCGAGCTGGCAAGAAGAGCTGACGTGGCAAGATAAGYTGCTRTGTGGGCCCCCCTCACTGCTGCTGCCGGCRGCGGTAATTCTTCCCACGAATGCATCCACAACATTACTCCCCTCTTGGACTTCGAGCTTGTCCTCAAGCTCGAATTCAGGATGGGTGTCGGGAATCACCGTCAAAGGAATTCCGAATAGGTGGAATGACTTTGCCCTCCTGGATCAGGTTCCAATGAAGGGGGTTCATCCTCATCTTCCTCTTGTTTCACCAGGAGGCAGGAAAAGTCTCTTGCACTTGTGCCCTGCTGAGTAGAGTTCATCGCAATTAAAACATTGCCCCCTCGCCCTGCGTTCTTCCATCTCAGCCCTGGTCAAGTGCTTAATAGGGGTGTAACGACGCTGCTCCCCACACTGGATGCTGATCTGGAATTGGTGCTCGTCTGTGGCTTCCGTTCTTGGCTGGCTGCTGGATATGGAGCCATTCCGAGTGGTTCCGGGGATGCCCATGCTGATGGAGGTCGCCCCATACTGAAGGTTTCGTGGCTGAGTTGTAGTTTGCGTTCGAAGGCGTGTGCTAGGTTCATGGCTGTGGCCAGGTTGGGAGGGTGTTGCATCTCCACGTCCACTCTTAGGGGTTCTGCTAGCCCCGCGGTGAACATATTGGCTTGCTGATCTGCGCGAACCGAGGTTGCTCTGGCGAGAAGGGTTTGGAACTGGCGTTGGTATTCTGCCACAGTTCCAGTTTGCTTGAGGTTGATTAACTCGCCCAGCGGGTTGCTTGTCAACGGTGGTCCGAACCTAAGGAGACATATGATTTAAACTGCCCCCAATTGAGCCCGGGTTCTTCTTGCTCCAGTCAGTAGAACCAGAGCTGCGCCTCTTCTGATAGGTGGAAGGCGGCCAGACTGACCTTATCTTTGTCATCAGTGCGCTGATTACGGAAGAACTGTTCGC